ATTATTTTTAATTATTGATTGTCGATTATTGATACAAACATGGTAGTATATTTATATTGAAAATTATAAATTGTTGGGGAATTATATTTTCAAAAATGAAATGAACTATTATATTAATTAATTATTGATTGAAGATATTAATTGATATTTTCTAGAGTTTTATTATTTCTTTTGTTTCCTAAAAAACAAATGGATTATTTTCATTAAGATATTTAATAATTAATTTCTATCATAACTATGATTATCTTTTAATATCTTTTAACATAAAATAATACATTTTGCATTACATGATAAATTAAAAATAATGAATATATTATTTTCCTCAATTATCAATTTACAATTTTTAAAAAATAATTTGGAAATTGTAATTGTACATTTTAAAGGGAAAATTATTATATTTATGGATTTATATTTGTTGTATATTTTTCTCCATTATCTGAATTGTCATTTGTTTGAAAATTTATTTAAATATCCTAAGATCTTCAATTTTTAATACAAACAACAATATAAGTTCTATATTTATACAAATAATTGTTAAAATAGTTAAAACACAATCATATTTCCTTTAGTATATAAAATATTTAATTAAAAATTAATGATTACATCGTTAAATATTTTTTTTATAATTTATTCCATTATCTTTTATTTTTCAATTTTGCAAAAAAATAAATTTCAAATTCTCAAGTGTTAATCATTAATTTTTCGAGATAATAGTTTTTGGGAAAATATTTGACCTATATTCTTTATATCAGTGATCATTTACACCTAGATAGTGAAAGCTCTCAATATGGCGAAAAAATAAATTTTCCAATAATTCTCGGGTATTATTCGTTTTGTAAAAAAATTATTTCAAAAATAATCATTTAACAAGTTTAGCTTAGCTGCATAATCCGTTTTTTTAAAATGTCCATTCATTGAAAAAAATATATTAAAAAATGATATCCTTTTATTAATTTCTTTCGTAAAGTGATAAACCATTTTTGCATAACTTTATTTACGCAAACTATACACCAATCTAAAAAAAAATGTAGATGCTATAATATATTTTACGTTATTACGATATTGGAGTTTTAAACCAAATTAAAATATCGGAATTTTAAATTAAATTACAATATTGCATTTTGGAAGTTTAAGTGAAATTACAATTATTGAAATATCGGAATTTTAAATCAAAATTTCAAGCTGTTAAAATATCGAGGTATCATTACTTCAATTTAAAGCTTTATAATGAGTTGTGAAAATTGGAGAATGAAGATATATCGGAGAATTGCAGATATAATGTTTGCAGAAATTAATACATTAATTTTTCACTATTATTATTCGTGAAAAATATCATAGTTTATTACATACATTGGTGAAAATGTTTACACAATTACGTCTTCTGATATAGAAACAATTTCATTATATTATATAGAACAATTTCATAGAACAGTATAGATATACGATAAAATTGTACAGAAAATCAATATCTTCTTCTTTCCTTTAGTAATTGCATCTGAAATCTGATTTAGATACTTAAGCAATCAAGACAAATCTTCGTTCATTGAAACTTCAATATCAAATGTCTTTGTAAATAATGCATATTCATCCAAATGCATGGATATGGGGACTATGCTCTAGATTTGCCTAGTTTCAGTCTAGATTCTACGTACTAGACAAAATTTAGTTGAAATCGATGGTCCCGCTACTATAACGTTTCCTTGGGATTTAGCGAAAATATATACTCGCCTTGCGTTAAACCAGTTAAGTTATACGAGAAATAAACTTATCAAACTAATTTCCAAGAATGTGAAAATTCTCGATTACTTCTCCTCTGTATAATTGAGAGGAGGAAAGTCTATAAGTGGCGAGATCTTTAATTTGAAGAAACTATGTATATCTAGTCTCAATGAAATTATAAATTTTAATAGAAAGTTTTATATATTTTAAAAATATATTGATAATAAATTTATAAAAATTATATTCTAAAAATTACAAAAGTTAATATTATAAATATAAAAAATAAAATTAAAATTATTAAAAAATTAAGAAATTTAAATTTTGTTTGATATACTATTAAATATATTATAAAAATATTATATATAGAATTATATTATAAAGGAGTTTATAATATTATAGGAATTCATGTTACAATAATTAAAATCATATATTTCTTATATAACTTTTATAATTTCGATAATTTTATAAAATAAATTTAATTCTTAATATAACGACTTTCATAAGAAAATAAATTTAATAAATCGGTGAATAAATTTTATACGATTAAAAATAAAAATTAATATTACGAGATTAAACGCACAATTTATAAATGCTTGTAAATTAATAATAAAATTCCTCTAAATACGTACGAATCCCCTTTTCTACGTAATAATCATTAAAAAAAAAAAAAAAGATACTTCAATCGTTTCAATTTAACATTATTTCATTCCACGTTAAAAATGAAAGAGATCACATTTGATTTTACATCGTAATACGATAATACAAATTTCGATACGACCATAGTACGTGAAATGATTACGAGCATTTGAATACAATAACACGAAAGTAGGATAAATTACCGGGGGAAAAAAAAAAAAAAAAAAGAAATACACGATTACGTATAAACAACGGGGCAATATTTTGGTGCTTTAAATATCTGGAAAAGATTGCGAAAAGATAGCCTGTAGGATATTAAATTCTGTTGGTCGTAATCAGCGAAATTCATTTCGCTCGGCTCATGCGGTATTTGTCTGTTGTGCTTTAAACTGCATTCAAAGTGGTGGATCTGCTCCGGACAGGTCGATTGAAGTGCCTCAAACCCTTTCACGATTTCCACTGATGACAAACATCGATCTTCCTTCAGTGTTGCACGCGAAGCGATGTTCTTCCCTTCTCTATAGACATCGATTATTGTTATGTCAGCTTTTATTGCAGTATTTGGGAAATCGTCTTTTGAAATAATAATTGAAAACTGGGCATTTCCATCGTTTTTTTTCTCTTCAGAGAATAAATATGATTAATAATCCGATCTTCTTTTGATAAAGATATTCATCGTTTCTTAAATATAAAATTTAAATATAAATCCATTTAGTCAAATAAGTGCAAAATACATAATTGAGTTCTTATATTTTTAATTGAATCGAATTGAAAATCTCGTAAGGAGATAGATTTTTGGGTTAGTTTTTGAATTATTAGATGTAATGTAATTAAAAAAATAATTTCGCATCGTGCAGTATAAAGTAACATAAATGCAAACATCGATTAGAAACTAGTGATTTATTACTTTTAAAGTGTTTCGTGTAATAAAGATGCAAATCCGGTTCTTCTCTTGCATTAAAACAGATTGTATTTGCTTTGATATTTTGTATATATTAAAAGCAATTTCAAATTTTAAAAATTTTCTCAAAATTAAAAACATAACTTATCAACTAATAATTATTTTTTGAAGAAATATATTTTTTCCATTAATGGTTTCTTTTTTAATGTTAAGTCAAAACAATTTTTTTGTTAATTTTTCTAAAATTATTACAAAAATGAATTAATTTAACTTTTTTATTTCCATAATCATCATGCTTATTAATATTCATTAATATATTTATAAAATTGAATAAAAAATCATTAGAAATTAATAAAATTCCAAAGAACGTTAAAAAACGATTGTTATAATCGTCGAGTATAATTTAGAAATAAGAATATTAAAAATATATTTAAGAAAGAAGAAAATAGGAAGTGTTTTGGGTAAATATATCCATTGCAAAATTCAACTTCTCTGTTTACTAGTTCGAAAATGTTGAGAAATATACGTAGCGAATGGGTTGACGTGCATTTTTCCAAATAAAATATTCACGTCGGAATTTGTATTATTCAACCGCATCGTGGCGGAAGTCGCAATTATCCCCAGAGAAACGCGAGTATCTTGAAGAACGTGGAACGGAAGGGGTTGCATTTACAAAATTACGAACACGCAACCCAACGAAAAACTTTAACATTTTCAACCATGTAACTCAATGAAACATATAATTCTCGTAGTGCAATGCATATACCTGAAACCAAGCTTACACTTGAATTTAATCTTAAAAAAAAAAAAAAAAAAAAAAAAAAAAAAAAAA